GCATTCCATTGTCTCAGAGATAGTAGGAACTGCAGATGCTGGAGAATCCGAGACAACAAGCTGCAGGGCTGGATGAACACAGCAGGCCAAGCAGCATCATAGGAGCAGAGAGGCTGACGTTTCGGGCCTAGACCCTTCAGCAGAAAAGGGGGAGGGGAAAGGGGTTCTGAAATAAATAGGGAGAGAGTGGGAGGCGAATAGAAGATGGATAGAGGAGAGGATAGGTGGAGAGGATAGGTGGAGAGGAAACAAACAGGTCGAAGAGGCGGGGATGGAGCCAGTAAAGGTGAGTGTACGTGGGGAGTTAGGGAGGGGATAGGTCAGCTCCCTACCTATGTCCGTGACACCACCCACGCCCTCCACCTCCTCCAGAACTTCCAATTCCCTGGTCCCCAACACCTCATCTTTACCATGGACGTCCAGTCCTTCTACACCTGCATTCCCCATGCAGATGGCCTTAAGGCCCTCCGCTTCTTCCTGTCCCGCAGGCCCGACCAGTCCCCCTCCACTGATACCCTCATCCGCTTAGCCGAACTCGTCCTCACACTCAACAACTTCTCTTTCAATTCCTCCCACTTCCTACAGACAAAGGGGGTAGCCATGGGTACCCGCATGGGCCCAAGCTACGCCTGCCTCTTTGTAGGTTACGTGGAACAATCCCTCTTCCGTACCTACACCGGCCCTAAACCCCACCTCTTCCTCCGTTACATTGATGACTGTATCGGCGCCGCCTCTTGCTCCCACGAGGAGCTCCAACAGTTCATCCACTCCACTAACACCTTCCACCCCAACCTTAAGTTTACCTGGACCATCTCTAACACCTCTCTCCTCTTCCTGGACCTCTCTGTCTCCATATCGGGCAAACACCTCGAAACCGATATTCATTTCAAGCCCACCGACTCCCACAGCTACCTAGAATACTCCTCCTCCCACCCACCTTCCTGCAAAAATGCTATCCCCTATTCCCAATTCCTTCGCCTCCGCCGCATCTGCTCCCAGGATGAGGCATTCCACTCCCGTACATCTCAGTTGTCCTCGTTTTTCAAGGACCGTAACCTCCCCCCCTCGGTGGTCGAGAACGCCCTCAACCGTGTCTCCCACATCTCCCGCACCTCATCCCTCACACCCCGTTCACGCATTAAGAACCAAAAAAGAATCCCCCTCGTCCTCACGTACCACCCCACCAACCTCCGGATCCAACGCATCATCCTCTGACACTTCCGCCATCTGCAATCCGATCCCACCACCAAAGACATTTTTCCCTCCCCACCCTTATCTGCTTTCCGGAGGGACAACTCTCTCCGTGACTCCCTTGTCCGCTCCACACTCCCCTCCAGCTCCACCACACCCGGCACTCTTCCCTGCAACCGCAGGAAGTGCTACACCTGCCCCCATACCTCCTCCCTCACCCCCATCCCAGGCCCCAAGAAGACTTTCCACATCAAGCAGATGTTCACCTGCACATCTGCCAATGTGGTATACTGCATCCGCTGTACCCGGTGTGGCTTCCTCTACATCGGGGAAACCAAGCGGAGGCTCGGGGACCGCTTTGCAGAACACCTATGCTCGGTTCGCAATAAACAACTGCACCTCCCAGTCGCGAACCATTTGAACTCCCCCTCCCATTCCTCAGACGACATGTCCATCCTGGGCCTCCTGCAGTGCCACAACGATGCCACCCGAAGGTTGCAGGAACAGCAACTCGTATTCCGCTTGGGAACCCTGCAGCGCAATGGTATCAATGTGGATTTCACAAGTTTCAAAATCTCCCCTCCCCCTACCGCATCCCAAAACCAGTCCAGCTCGTCCCTGCCTCCCTAACCTGTCCTTCCTCCCACCTATCCCCTCCTCCTACCTCAAGCCGCACCTCCATCTCCTACCGACCAACCTCATCCCGCCCCCTTGACCTATCCGTCCTCCCTGGGCTGACCTATCTCCTCCCTAACCCCCCACCTACACTCACCTTTACTGGCTCCATCCCCGCCTCTTCGACCTGTTTGTTTCCTCTCCACCTATCTTCTCCTCTATCCATCTTCTATCCGCCTCCCACTCTCTCCCTATTTATTTCGGAACCCCCCTTCCCCTCCCTCTTTTCTGAAGGGTCTAGGCCCAAAACGTCAGCCTCTCTGCTCCTATGATGCTGCTTGGCCTGCTGTGTTCATTCCATTGTCTGCCTTGATTATTTTGTGTGCCTGTACCCTGACCTTGTCTATTTCAGTCTAAAATGGATAACCTCATGTTTGCTTACATTGAACTCCATCTGCCACAGTTTTGTCCATTCACCCAGTCTATCAATATCCCTTCATAATTTTATGCTATCATCAGTCTACAATACCACCTAACTTTGTGTCATCAGCCAATTTGGATATATGACTTCTTATGCCATTAATCAAGTTATTCTTAAATAATGTGAATAATTGAGGTCTTATCACAGGTCTTAGCGGGACACCACTGGTCACATCCTGCCAATTTGAGTATCAACCCATTATTCCTACTTTGTTGCCTGCCACTCAACTAATTTACTTTGTCAGTAATTTTCCCTCAATTCCAGAAGCTTACACCTCAGTTAACAGTCTATTATGTGGACTTTATCAAGAACCACTCGCAAAACTGGAGTCAATGGGTACTGGGGGAGAACTCTCCACTGGTTGGAGTCATACCTGGCACAAAGGAAGACCGTTGTGGTTTCTCGAGATCAGTCATCTCAGCTCCAGGACATCTCTGCAGGAGATCCTCAGGATCATGTCTTTGGCCCATCAATCTTCACCTGCTTCATCAATGACCCTCTCTCCATCATAAGGTCAGCAGTAAGGATGTTTGTCGATGACTGCACAATGTTCAGCCCCATTTGGTCCATGTCCAAATGCAACAAGACCTGAACGATATCCAGGCTTGGGCTGATGAGCGGCAAGTAACGTTTGCACCATACAAATGTTAAACAACCACCACCTTCAATTAGGGACGTGCTAACCATCACCCACGGCATTCACGGCATTACCACCACTATCAACATCCTGGGGGCTTATCATTGAGCAGAAACTGAACTAGTTAGCCACATAAACAGTGGCTACAAGAGCAAGTCAGAAGCTAATCAGTTTGCAGTGAGCAATTCACCTCCTGACTCCCCAAAGCCTGTTCACCATCTACAAGGCACAAGTCAGGAATGTGATGGAATACTCCCCACTTGCCCTGGATGGATGCAGCTCCAGCAACACTCGACACCATCCAGGACAAAGCAGCCCCCGCTTGACTGGCACCACCTCCACAAACATCCACTCCCTCCACCACCAACGCTCAGTACCAGCAATGTGTACAAATCTACAAATGCCAAAGATTCTTATACAACACTCAATGCCACTGAGTCAAAATCCGAGAATTCCCTCCCCAACAGCCTTGTCGGGCGACCTACAGCATTGAACTGCAGTGGTTCAAGAAGGCAGCTCAGCGCCACCTTCTCAAGGGGCAACTAGGGACGGGCAGTAAATGCTGGCCAGCCAGCGACACCCACATCCCAGAGAAAATTTTAAAAATGATAATGAGGAAATATACACTGAGCACCATTTCTGGTCCAAACTCCTGAATACACTCTGCATTGCCTGTATGGCTTAGGATATTGTTTGTAACAAAAAAAAATACTCCAAATCACTAATTAACTCCCATCAAATGAATCATTGGCAATATTTGTAAAATACCAACAGGTATGACTTTGATATAAGTGAAAATTTGCCCAGTTCCTATTTCTGGAATATTACCTTGAAATACATACCCAATACTATTGTTTATCTTGATTTTCTATCAACACTAGCAGCTACAACTTACTTTACTTTGAATACAATGTGAGCTTGCTGCATGGAAGGAGCAGGAGCTGAATTTGCTTTGTGGGGGACACACTGCCTCGAAACAGTTTGTTGAATCAAAATAATGAACACTACCTACTCAATCAACACTTATGTCTGTATCCGAGAGACCTGGAAAAGGGATGTTTACAATAAAACAGTTGACAGAAAGATCAGGGATCACATGTTAATCAACACGTGACTGCACTGGATCTGCTTGGTACCCCATGCAATTGTACAGATTACAGGGACCTGGTGCCACACCAGGATCAGGGTTTCCTGCAAATTCAGTGGAATCCCATTCATGTTTACTAATAACACACAGGATATTTTGACGTATAGCAGCACTTACTATTCGCTATGTTGGAAGCTGTGTAACTGTCTGCCATTCCCGACACCTGACTGGCAATGCTGACTTCACTTGCCCTCCGGAATCCCCGGAAAACTGGGGCTGTTAAGGGGGAGGATGGCGATGAACTTTCCATGAGGATGCCAGCGTGAGACTGAATAACGTCTGCTATTGAACCAAAATAAAGAAATCCAAATTAGACCCATCAGGACAACAGATAAACTCTCAAACTAGAAAAAAGTATCAATGATCATATCTAAGGTTCATTTATCATTGATGTCATGGAGGAATTAATGCACCATCTGACTTTTGACAACAAAAAGAAACCCCGGCTAAGCAAAGGCAATACAAATATCTGGCCTGCCAATTTAGGTGACAGCTGTCAAGAGACAGAAGGGAAAAATAAAACAAGACCGGAGCTAAAGTCAGTTCAGTTTGTAAACATGGAAGATACTGCAGATAGTGAGGGGATGTCTAAGCTTAACCTTGGGAAATTATACAATACTCAACTGCGTCACAAAACCTAACTCCAAGTGCAGCATATCCACCAACTGAACACTCTTGTTCATAGTAGTACACTGGATTAAATAAAAGACTTGTTTAATTATTATTCCGATATCTCTTTCTAATTTTCACAACAGGAAATTAAGCTGATCAATAGAAATGGTGAAAAATGAGCCTCTCAGTTGCCAGATGAACAGTCATAATGTCAACTTAACAATCAGAAATCAAGAGTTTATGTTTAAGATCTGGCTGGTTCTTTATTCAACTATAAAGTGAATTCAGAATGCTTTGTATTAGGGGGAAGTTGCACAAAAGGGTATTGCCTTCTCAATTTACTCACGCCTCTTTTACATCAAGGAGCATGACTGGCCAGCAGCTGTGGACAGAGCTCTGACCTGACTCGTGCCCATTTCTAAAATGAAGTGGATCTATCAGGAAACTAAAGAAGCTGCATTAAGGAAGAGGTCATTGATAAAAGACAAAGTGGGAATAAAATTGTTATCACTCCTCGTATTCATTGTTGCATCAGAGATACTGCAGAGTTCCACATATTCCGACATTGTCTGGCACCACAATGTATTGTTGACAGGTACAATATTCCACTATATATTTTCTCAATAATACTTTGCGCTGAAAATTAGATTGATTGCTTATATCATGGGTTTTCTGTTCAAGGAAAACAAATTAAAGATGATTATTAAATATGCATTTAACTGATTAGTTGAATTTCAAACAGGGTGAATTATTTCAGTACTAACTTCTCAGCAGCAATGTCATGCCAAAAAAAAAGCACAAAATGCAAAGTAAAATCCAAACTCTCTCTCAGAAAACAAGATTGGAGTAGACTGTTATTCATCAATATGATCTTCAAATATAAATTAACTAAATGCAAAAACAGAATTATAAACTATGGCTAGATGAAACCAAAAACCTGCTTGGCATGTTTTGGTTTTTGATACTGATGGGAAGATGACTCTACAAGCTTACAAACCATGCAAAAGCAGTGGATTCCTTTTCTCTGGATTTTGCAGTGATGCTGGAGAGTGTCACTCAGCATCTATGCATTGGCCAGGGACAGCTCCATGAATTAAGCCATTCACCAGGTTTGTTTTTTTTTACACAGTACATTAATCAACCTCATGTGACATTGCACACAGGAAATCACAGCCAAATCTTCAGCTGAGGCGAGATTAGAGGGTAGCGGATAATAGGTGCAGGGAGCACAAACAGTTCCGATTTTGTAGTTGCATATTCTACACACATGCACCAATATTTCAAATACTCTGCCCAAGGTTGTTTTAAATTTAATTCAAATGAACTGATTACATTTTAATTGGAAGCTTTGATAAATCTAGATAAAAATCAAACATTTCATCGTGCTGAACTTGAAAGAATTTCAACTGCTCCGGACTTAATCAAGTAATATTATTAATTATCAAATATTGCTTTGCGGTTGTTCTCATTTTGAGATTGAGATTCAAACTGAATTCCTACATAATAGGGTTTGCCTATGTGTATTAGTGGATTTAAGTGTGTTTGTAGGATGTGATTTGGGATATTTTATCAATCAAATGATACTAAATAAATTCATGTAATTGTTTTTGGAGATGCAATGTGGCCTGTGTAGGTGCACAATTTTCCCTGCCAATCATGAACATTAGCCTACTCATCTTATCATTCCATATTTTCCCTGCACACTGTCCCCCATTCCCAGCCACAACAGTGAAAATGTTTCAAGTCCATTCTAATCACAAAACATACCACCACTAAGCAAAGAAGCAGGCACATAGCACAGATCACAACAGTACAAAAGGAGAGACTACACACACTCTGCAAAAGTTGGATTCCTACTGGAACCATCTTGCCAGTTAAGGACAGGAACAGGAATACTAGTTTCTATTACACTCTCCTGTTGTTGGAGAGTCACAAATGGAGTTTCCAGGATGAGGGTGGGGTTGTTCTGGATTGCCTCAACTAGAGCAGACGGGAAAAAAACACAAGGACAGACATCTAGCTATAAACCGTACAACAAACATCACAGTCAACCACTTACAGCAACTGAGAGAGTTAATGCTGGCAACTTTGTTCGTATTTTCAGATTTCTCATGCTATTGAAATAGTTATTAAGTTGATGTTTAATCTAAGTGACTTTACATGTTTTACAATGTAAGGATCAAATTTATCTCTTTAAAACTAAGGGCAAATGCAAACCTGTTGAAAGACAAAACAGAGGGAGAACATAGTGTCTTAGCTATCCCTGTATTAACAGCAATGGCATAGAATCAAATACAGTTTATATTCACAGTTACACCTATCAGATTCTCATTTCTGGCTTCTATTCTGCTATAGGAATATTTACACATTTATTATACAGGAATGGACTACTTAATGTTTGTTTACCACTATGAAAATAGGATCCTTGCTATATAAAACAAATGCTATTTCCGATATTTGCAGTCTTCTTTAACTTATTTCCAAAACATAAAAAAAAATCAAGTTCTCTCTGTTGGCCAACACATGCTACCGCAAGCTTTATACGCTTAAGCATGTTGTAGTTGATTGAAACATTTTCTAACAGAGCACTTGTTATAATATGTGACTTGTTATAATGTATAGCTCTGATCATGCTGGCTAATTATTGATAATTGACAAGCAGAACATTCTTCAATCTGCCAGCATATCTAACTACATTAACTAGTAGCTCTTCGTTGCTGATTGAAAGTGCGCCTACCCAGAAGAACAGAGCTGCCATCACCCAGTGGAAATCTCTGATACCGGGGAACATTAAATGGTGGGAGCAGGTGGAATTTCTTCTCCAGAAGTGGCTCCAAGCGGGAAGATGAAGGATCCGCTGGATGGAAGAGATTGTAAACCTGTTGACATGCTGGTCTCAACTGGTAGACTGAGAAGGAATGGAATTGATGTGACAATTAACAGACTTGTTTGACACAATGTTTCTAAGGTAAACATTAATTTTCATGATTCAAGTAAAACATTACTGAGAAAAGGGACACCAATAGCTATCCCATTACTCACACCAGCTATTGGAAAATAAACCTTCAAATTCATTTTAAACTTTCATTTGACTCGATTTCAGTTACCTGTTGGATAGCGTTTTAAGAAAAGAATTGCAACATATCAACAAAAACAACAGACAATCGGGTGGCACGGTGGCACAGTGGTTAGCACTGCTGCCTGTCAGCACCAGGGTCCTGGGTTTGATTCCAGTCTCGGGCGACTGTCTGTGTGGAGTTTGCACATTCTCCCCGTGTCTGCGTGGGTTTCCTCCGGGTGCTCCGGTTTCCTCCCACAGTCCAAAGATGTGCAGGGTAGGTGGATTGGCCATGGTAAATTACCTGTAGTGTTCAGGGATGTGTGGGTTATATGGGGATGCGTCTGGGTGGGATGCTCTGAGGGTCGGTGTGGAATTGTTGGGCTGAAGGGCCTGTTTCCACACTGTAGGGATTCTATGATTCTAAAAATAATGTGGGAAAGATCCTGGTCATTCACAATCAGGATGTGAAACAAATGGTGCCAGAACAGTCCAAACACTTGACTGCGGAATGTGGGCTATCCAAGACGAGAGGAGAAGGAAGGATAAATAAAATAAGGCAAGATGCAAAACAGACTGAAATTCATCAGTAACAATTTTTCACTCACACCAAGTTAAAATGAATCCTATTAGGATCCCTAGGATATTCATATTGGATAGAATGGGCAGCATGTAAAGAAGATGTAAAATCCAAAACAAAGGAGGTCGGTAAAATTCCTAAAGTATTTGTTTTCAGTGTCAGTTACCCTGGAACTGAGTGCTCATTGAGTACAGTGTTTCAGGGAGAAACATAGCTTGTAACAGAAGCTGGGTGGGGTTAACCCACCGTGCTGGCAGTCACTGTGGTCTTTGTGGGTTAATTATCTTTTGGGTCAGAATGGAATCCCTTTGGGGATTTTCAGTCCTGTATTGGCTACAGATTTTCTTTAGCTGTTCCAGAAGATTACGTGATGTGAAATGATACATTGGTGGATGGGACAAGTGGAAAACCCATTTGGATTCCTGTCCTTTTCCAGCTACATCAGAGTCGATCACGAGATCCAGGGAGAGCTAGTCAACTGGATACAAAATTGGCTTGATGGTAGCGAACAGATAGTAGTGATAGAGGGTTGGTGTTCACACTAGAGGCATGTGACCAGTAGTGTTGTACAAGGATTGGTGCTGGGTCCACTGTTGTTCTTCATTTATATAAATGATTTGGATGTGAATATTGGAGGCATGTTTAGTAAGTTTAAGGATGACACCGCAAAATTAGTGGTATAATGGACAATGAAGAAGGTTAAAACCGAAAGAACTGTGAATGCTGTAAATCAAGAACAAAACAGAAATTGCTGGAAAAGCTCAGCAGCATCTGTGAAGAAAAAAAATCAGAGTTAACATTTCGCTTCTGGTGACCCTTACTCAGAAGGTTAACGGAGAGCACAACGGGATCTTGATCAACTGGGCCAATGGGCCAAAAAAGAGGAATGGCAGATGAGGTTTAAGGCAGCTACATGTGAGGTGTTGCATTTTAGTAAGACATACCAGGCAGGACTTACACAGTTTATCACAGAATTCCTACAGTGCGGAAAGAGCCCATTCAGTCCACTGTGTCCATACCAATCCTTTGAAGAGCATCCCACCCAGACCCAGCTATAGGAAGAATATCATTCAACTGGAAGGGCTGCAAAAAAGATTTACAAGGGACTGGAAGGTTTGAGTTTTAAGGAGAGGCTAGATAGGCTGGGACATTTTTCCTTGGCGTGTAGGAGGCTGAGGAGTCACCTTATAAAGAGGTTTATAAAATTTTGAGAGGTACAGATAAGGTGAATAGCCAAGTTTTCTTCCCCAGGGTGGGAGAGTCGAAAACTAAAGGTGTAAGGTGAGAGGGGAAATATTTAAAAGGGACCTGAGGAGTGACTTTTTTCACACAAAGGATGGTGTGTATGTGGAATGAGCTGCCAGAGGAAGTGGTAGAGCAGATATGGTTACAACATTTAAGATATTTGGACAGGTATATGGATAGGAAAGGTTTAGACCTATATGGACCAAATGCAGGAAAATGGGCTAATTCAGTTTAGGAAACCTGGTCAGCATGGACGGGTTGGACTGAAGGGCCTGTTTTTGTGCTGTATGACTCTACGATGCAGATCACTTCCTGAGCAAGAAATGCTGCAACGCCAAAACACTTTCTCAACCAGGAACAGGATGTAGAAACAAAATTTATTGGCAATTTTTCATTTCACTGTAACAAACAGAGGGAATTGCACTGGTCAAGCTACCCACCATCCAAGCTGGGAATCACTGTCTTCCTCAATGCCAGGACCAGTCCCAAGGGGGAGCCAAACAGAAAGAAGTCAGTCACTTCAAATTCAAACTTTCCAGGGTTTACTCCTTCGAGCATGGTTGAACCACTAGATCGCCTTGACCCAGGATCATTCTTTAACACACTAGATTGCAAACTACAAGAAAAAACGCAAATATTAATATTTAAGATCTTTTTCTTTTATATTAAATTCCCAATAAAAACTACACCTCAGCTAGGTTGTCAATCTGCTGATCTATGAAAGGAAGTAAACATTAAAAGGACACAGCAACAGGCAGTAGAGAAGCAGTGCAGAAAAATCACATCCATTCTTCCCTTCAAAAGATCTCAACAAACACTGCCTTGTACCCAAGGTTTAGGTGAATTCAGGGGATCAACACAGCAGAAACAGGAAATGGAAAGAGGACATTTTGTCAAAAACACACTGATCACATTAAAGTAATCACACCACACAAATGCCATGCAATTTCATTAAGCGACAATCTAACCACTGACTGTTGACATTCAATAATGTTACCATCATGTTATCAGCATTCTGGGAGTTCCCACTGACCAGAAACTCAACTGGATTTGCCATAAAAATACAGTAGCCACAAGAGCAGGTCAGAGACTAGAAATCCTGCAGCAAGTAACTCACTTCCTGACTCCCCAAAGCCTGTCCACCATCTCACAGGCACAAGTCAGGAGTGTGATGGAATACTCCCCACTTGCCTGGATGAGTGCAGCCCCAACAACACTCAATAAGCTCAACACCACCCAGGATAAACTAGCCCGCTCGACTGGCACCACATCCACAAGCATCCAATCCCTCCACCACCGGCGCTCAGTAACAGCAGTGTGTACTATCTACAAGATGCACTGCAGAAACTCACCAAAGATCCTCAGACAGCACCTTCCAAACCCACGACCACTTCCATCTACAAGGACAAGGGCAGCAGATACATGGGAACACCATCACCTCCAAATTCCTCTCCGAGCTATTCACCATCCTGACTTAGAAATACATCACAGTTCCTTCACTGTCACCAAGTTAAAATTCTGGAATCCATCCCGAATGGCACTGCGGGTCTACCTACAACTCATGGACTACCGCAGTTCAAGATGGCAGCTCACCAACACCTTGTCAAGGGCAACGAGGGACGGGAAATAAATGCTAGCCGAGCCAGCGACACCCACATGCCACAAGCGCCACTACAGGGATGCACATTGGCTCAGTGGTTAGCACTGATGCCTCACAATGCCAGGAACCCAGGTTCAATTCCAGCCTCAGGTAACTATCTGTGTGAAGCTTGCACATTCTTCCCATGTCTGCAAGGGTTTCCACCGGGTGCTCCAGTTTCCTTCCACAGTCCAAAGATGTGCAGCTTAGGTGGATTGGCCGTGCTAAATTGCCCGTAGTGTCCAGGGATGTGTAGATTAGGTAGATTAGCCATGGGAAATGCAGGGTTACAGGGATAGGGTAGGGGGGTGTGTCTGGATGGGTGTTCATCAGAGGGTCAGTGTGAACTTAGAACATAGAACAGCACAGCACAGTATAGGCCCTTTGGCCCACGACGGTGTGCTGACCTATTACCCTACTCTAAGATCAAACTACCCTGCATACCCTACATTTTACTATCCTCCACGTGCCTCTCCAAGAGTTGCTTAAATGTCCCTAAAGTATCTGACTCCATTACCACTGCTGGCAGCACATTCCATACGCCCACCACTCTCTGTGTAAAGAACCTACCTCTGACATCTCCCCTATACCTTTCTCTAATCACCTTAAAATTATGCCCCCTCGTAATAGCCGTTTCCGCCCTAGGAAAAAATCTCTGACTATCCACTTTATCTATGCCTCTCATCATCTTGTACACCTCTCATCCTTCGCTCCAATGAGAAAAGCCCTAGCTCCTTCAACCTTTCCTCATAAGACCTGCCCTCCAGTCCAGGCAGCATCCTGGTAAATCTCCTCTGAACCCTCTCTAAAGCTTCCACATCCTTCCTACAATGAGGTGACAAGAATTTGAACACAATTATCCAAGTGTGGTCTAATCAGGGTTTTATACAGCTGCAGCATTACCTTGTGGCTCTTAAACTCAATTCCCCTGCCAATGAAAGCCAACACAACCCTATCAACTTGGGTAGCAAATTTAAGGGATCTATGGACGTGGACCGCAAGATCCCTCTGTTCCTCCAAACTGCCAAGAATCCTGCCATTAACCTTGTATCCTGCATTCAAATTCCACCTTCCAAATGAATCACTTCACACTTTTCTGGGTTGAATTCCATCTGCCACTTCTTTGCCCAGCTCTGCATCCTGTCAATGTCCCGTTGCAACCTACAACAGCCGTCCACACTATTCACAACTCCACCAACCTTCGTGTTATCGGCAAACTTACTAACCCACTCTTCCACTTCCTCATCCAAGTCATTTATAAAGATCACAAACAGCAGAGATCCCAGAATAGATCCCTGCAGAACACCACTGGTCACAGAGCTCCAAGCTGAATATTTTCTATCTACCATCACCCTCTGTCCTCTATTAGACAGCCAATTCTGTATCCAGACAGCCAAATTTCCCTGAATCCCATGCCTCCTGGCCTTCTTAATGAGCCTACCATGGGGAACCTTATCAAATGCTTTGCTAAAATCCATATACACCACGTCCACTGCTTGACCTTCATCAATGTGTTTTGTCACATCCTCAAAGTATTCAATAAGGCTTGTGAGGCATGACCTGCCCCTCACAAAGTCAGGCTGACTATTTCTAATCAAACTGTGCTTTTCCAAATAATCATAAATACTGTCTCTCAGAATCCTCTCCAATAATTTTCCCACCACATAAGAAAGACTGACTGGACTGTAATTCCCAGGATTATCCCTATTCCCTTTTTTGACCAAGGGAATAACATTTGCCACCCTCCAATCATCTCATAATACTCCAGTGGACAGTGAGGACGCAAAGATCATGCCAAAGGGGCAGCAATCTCTTCCCTCGCTTCCCTTAGCAACCTTGGGTATATCCCGTCTGGCCCAGGAGACTTATCTATCCTCATGTTTTTCAACATTTCTAGCACATCTTCCTTCCGAACATCAACCTGTTTGAGCATATCAGCTTGTTTCATGCTGTCCTCACAAACGTCAAGGTCCCTTTCACTGGTGAATACTGAAGCAAAGTATTCATTAAGGACCTCCCCTACCTCCTCCGACTCCGCGATCAAGTTCCCTCCACTATCCCTGATTGGCCCTACCCTCACTCTGGCCATCTTCTTGTTCCTCATATATGTATAGAATGCCTTGGAGTCTTCCTTAATCCTACCTGCCAAGGCTTTTTCATACCCCCTTCTTGCTCTCCTAAGTCCATTCTTCAGTTCCTTCCTGGCTGCCTTGTAGCTCTCTAGAGCCCTGTCCGATCCTTGCTTCCTCAACCTTAAGTGAGCTTCCTTCTTCCTCTTGACTAGATGTTTCACATGTCTTGTCATCCAAGGTTCCTTCACCTTACCATCAGTGGGACTTGTTGGGTTGAATGGCCTGTTTCCAACTGTAGGGATTCTATGATGATGAAGTGAGTAAAACAAATATAAAGCTCATTGCACGAATACATCTGTGACAAGGGTCAAGTCTGAAGATTTGAGTCGAGCAAAGTCTAATCAAAAAGATTAGCATTGTCTGATCTGAGGATGAGCACTGTCCAGTAAAATCTTCCAATGCAAAGTAGTTTGGGACCAAACCAGCATCGATTTCAATTCATAGAACATCAACACTAACATAAAATCATACTGTGTGAACTTCTCAGAGACAGTGAAGTTTAAAACCTTCAATACATATAGGATTGGCTAACTATTAGAAGACGAGAAATGGCATCAAAGGAGCCATTTTCAAGATGGCAACCTGTAACTAGTGGTGTGCTACAGGGATCAGTGCCAAGGCCACAATTACTTACAATATATAGTAATGACTTGGATAAAGGAAGTGAATGTACTACTGAAAGGTTTGCAGAGGACTTGACAGGATCAATGCAGAACAGTTGTTTCCCCTTGTGGGAGAGTCTAAAACCAGAGGGCATCATCTCAGAGTAAGGGGTCGCTCATTTATGACAGAGATGGGAAGGATTTTCTTCTGAGGGTAATCAATCTGTAGAATTTTCTTTTTTACCGCAGAGGGTTTGCGAGGCTTGGTCATTATGTATATTTAAGGTTGATACAGACAGATTTTTAATCAGTAAGGCAATCAAGGGTAATGGGGAAAGGCAGGAAAGTAGAGTTGAGGATTATCAGATCAGCCGTGATCTCAATGAGTGGTGGAGTTGACTTGATAGACTGAATGGGCTACTTCTGTTCTTGCATCTTATGGTCAATTTCATGAAGACTATAAGACCATAAGAAATAGGAACAGGAATCTGCCATTTGGCCGCTTGAGCCATTCAATAGGGTCACGGGCTGATCCGACATTCCTCACATCCACTTGCCTGTCCTTTCTGCATAATCCTTGATTTCCTGACGGATCAAGACTCTATCTGTCTTAGCCTTAAATATACAGAAGGACTCTGTCCCACAGCCCTCTGTGGCAAGGAGTTCCAAAGACTCAACTCTCAAAGAGAAGAAATTCCTCCTCATGTCAGTCTTAAATTGGCGCCCCTTTATTCTGAGACTATGCCCTCTGGTTCTTGACTATCCCATGAGGGGAAATATCCTCTCAGCATTTATCCAACTGCAACTTACTGCAACTGTAAAAGGTGCTGGTGAGACCACATTTGGAGCATTATTGAGAGCTGTTTTAGTCCCCTTATTTAAGGAGCGATATTGTTTCACTGGAGACTTCAGAGGAGGTTCACTAGGACAATCCCTGGTGTGGAGGAACTGTCTTATGTGCAAAGGCCAACCGGTTGGGACTCTACTCATTGGAGAATAAGAGGTGATCTCAGTGAATCATATAGGATTCTTATACGGCTTTACAGGGTAAGTACTGGTCTTACGTACATGTGACAATAATAAATCAAATCAAAAAAAGGTACCACCGAGTTCCTTTGTACTGCAGCTTTCTGCATTTTTCTCCATTACATAGTATTCTGTACCTTTGTTCGCCCTTCCAAATGAACAAATTCACATTTTCCCACATTACTCTCCATTCCCCAACATTTTGCACAGATGTACAGAACTGTTATTAATTCAAGCTATTATTTGCAAATTCTACTGCATGCAAAAAAATGCAATTGTTAAAGAAAATCTGAAATAAAAATTTTAAAAATGCTGTGAGATTCAGCAGTGATGTCCATTTTTTTCTCTCCTCTTTCTATCTAGATGTTGAAAGTGTTTTACAAATGAAAATTATTGCTGCCATTTTATGATGCAGGAATTTGCAGTGCCCTTGTTGAACTCCCTTAACCACCTATGTCACTGTTACCTCTAAACCCGACCATCCAAATGCACACTTTGCAGCATTTCATGTCCTACCTTAAATTTGAACTCATAGAAAACTCTGGCATTGCCTTAACGTGTTCCAAATACCTTTGGCCCATTAACCCCGTGCTTACTGACTTACATTGTTCATGGTCCAATAATTCCTTTATTTTAAAATTCGTAGCTAATTTGAAATTGTTCTATAGACTCACTGCTCCCCAGTTCTGTAACCACCTTCAGACCTACAATCCTCTGAGACATGTACAATCCTCCAACACTGAACTTTTTGACATCCTAGATTTTCTCTTCATGGCCGTGCCATCAGCTGCCAAGGACCTAAGCTCTTGAGGCATTTCCATTAATCTCTCTTTCATTCTTTAAGACAACCTTAAAACTTACCTCTTTGTTCAAACTTTTGGCCATTTTCATTCATTCATTGGAAAAGCTCAGCAGGTCTGGCAGATTCCGTGAAGGGAAAAACAGAGTTAACGTTTCGGGTCCGGTGACCCTTCCTCGTTCTGACGATGCTGCCAGACCTGCTGAGCTTTTCCAGTAACTTTGCTTTTGTTCCTGATTTACAGCATCTGTAGTTCTTTCGGTTCTCATTTATTCATTCTCAGGTTGTGGGTGTCACTGGCTAGTCCAGCATTTAACATTCATCCTTAAGTGTCCTTAAGAAGATAGTGGTGAGCCATATGCTTGGAAATAACGGGCCAGGTTGGTCAGCATTCTCAGTTCCCTACCCTCCTGCCAAGTTGGCCTAGTCTCGGGTCTGACACCTCTCGTGCCGGCCAAATCTAACTTTGCCACAGCTACAATGAGAATATTAGTCTGAAACAGCCATATTTTAAGACTGTGTTCCATAGTTCTACATTTCCCCGTCAGGGATAACACTCTTACAGAAACTATCCGGTCAACCACTGAAGAATTTTATCATTTCAATAATTTACCTTTCACTCTTCTAAATTCTAAGTTGAGTCAATCTCCCCTTTAGCACATTTGTTGCATTGCCAGAAGCAACTCATTGAGCCTCTACTGCATTCCATCTAGGAGAAGTATGTCCTTCATCAGGTAAAGACAGCATATTGACATGTCTGTACATTTTGCTCTAGAACTCTTGGTTGAATCTTTTAAGCTCTTACCTTGAAAGAAAAGCCTGGTGGTGTTTAATTGTGTCAAGTTCATATGTTGAAGAATCACTCCTCTTTCTTGGCAGCTGTTTATTTGGATTATCCATGCTGCTTCGAGGAATGTCAATGTTGCTTCTACTGAGATGCCTGCTGGTTTCCAGGTTGGAAGCATTGCACATACAGCTGTTGTTCACAACTATACCAGGAGATAATAGATCATTGTCCTGTAAATCAATTATAGCACACAGGCAATTGATAACTGCTCCCAACAGAAAAGGCTACTAAATGTGACTGTAAAATTGCACATTATATAAGCAGAGATAAGGATTATTGCTTCCACTATGATTAATATTTAGTGATGCTAAATCATGTTCAACTGGTGGGGAGCTTCCAATCAGCAGCAGCAATCTCATATCTCAGCCAAATAATAGTTATATTTGCACTGATTTCACATGATGCAAGATTCATCTCCACGCCACAGTCCCTTAATGACAGATCTCATATGACTGGCTGAATCAAAAACTCAGTTTCCTCAGCCTTGGATTGTTTTTACTATTTACCATTATTTAAGTTTGGATAAGATAATTGTTAACCTTTGAAACTCTCTTCCCGGATATCAGTGGATACCAGAGTCACCGAGCACTTTTAATACTGACGTAACAAAAAAGTCAAAGGTTATTGGTCTGCTGGAATTGTTTTTAATTTTTTCACATGATGTGGATTTTGCTGCTGAAGCCAGCACTTATTAACTGATCATCTCATTCCTAATTGATCTGGAGAGGGTGGTGAGCTGTCTTATTAAACTGTTTCAGTTCATTGACTGTAGGTAAATCAAAATGCTGTAAGGAAGGGAGTTCCTGGATTTTGATTCAGCAACAGAGAAGGAACAGTGATATAATTCTGTAGATGGCCCACACTGCTACACTGTGAATCAGTGGTGGAGACGGTGAATGCTGAAAATGGATGTGATGCCAATCAAGCAGAGTCATTTGTCTAGGATGATGCTGAGTTTCTGGAGTGCCTTTGGAATTATATACAAATTGCAAGTATTCCATCATACTCCTGACCTGTGCATTGGAGATGCACGAAGGAGAAATTTCTAGTCTGTAAACTATTCTTGTAACCACAGTGTTTATAAGGCTGGTCCAGTTCAGCTTTTGGTCAATGGAAATTCCCAGAATATTGATAGTAAGGATTCGGTGATTATAATGTCACTGAAAGTCAAGGGATAATGGTTAGATTCGCTCTTTTATCTGCTTTAATAAGGTCAAGAGCTGCATAGCCCTACTGGAACCCAAACTAAGCATCAGTGATCAGGTTAGTGCTAAGCAATTTGTTCGATAGAGCAGTCAATAACATCTTTCATCAGTTTGCTGATGATCGAGAGTAGACTGATAGGGTGGTAATTGGCCAGGCGGAATTTATCTTCTTTTTTATGCATAAGATATAATGAGGCAAATTATCCATTATAGTCTCGGCTCAAACGCTGAAACAGCTGAACTCAAGAGGAGAACTGAAGGTGACTTTTCTTAACATAAGGCATTTCTTGACCAATAGTGGCACCAAGGAGCCCTAGCAGAACTGAAATCAATGAGAATCAGGGGAAATCTCTTTCTCTATTGGAGTCATTATGGCACACAGAAAGATCTCTATGATTGTTGGAGGTCAGTCATCTCTGTCCAGGCATCACTGCAGGAGCTCCTTAGGGTAGTGTCCATGGCTCAACCATCTTCGGTTTAAATTAACTCCCCACCATCAAAAGGTCAAAACTGGAGATGCTTGCTGATGATTACACAATGTTCAGCATCATTCATGACTCCTAAGACACTGAGGTGCAAGAAGTGCCATCTCCCCTTGATATCCAACACTAGTACAGTAGATGAACTGAGATAGTTTGGCGAGGAGCGCAGCTGGTTCTTGAAAACAGGTCTTCAGTACAATTGCTGGAATTTTTATCAAAGCCCGAAGCCTTGCAATGTCTAGGTCCATACAGCCATTTCTTGCTATCACATGGAATGAATTAAATCGTCGGAAAACTGGAATCTGTGGTGCTGGGGATCTCGGAAGGAGGCCAAGATGGGTTATTCACTTGGCTTTCTGGCTGAAGATAGATTCAAATGCTTCAGCTTTCTCTTTTGCACTAATGTACTAGACTTCACCCATCACTGAGAACGGGATATTAGTAGGGCATCCTGCTGTTCTAGTTAATTGTTTACTAACATTCATAACAGAATGCAGCAAGACTGCAGAGCTTAAATCTGATGCATTGGTTGTGGAGTTGCTTAGTCCTATCCATCACATTTAGGTAAAAAATGGTGATGCTCCTGATATGCTGTTCTGCTCTCTTCAATGAACTGGCTCTGCCCCTTGGCTTGATGGTGAAGTGGAGGATATGCAAATTTGTATGATGTTTACTAATTCAATTTGTGAAAGAAAATCATAACATGGCAACCAGGCTGTGCAATGAGAACAAAAGGAAAGTGAAACAGACTATTATTTTAACCAATATGAAGCCATCTGGTCTTTACTCTATTGCCTAAAAGTCATCTCAAGATATGATCACGGCACTGGTTTTCAGAGACAAATCAGAGAATATAATCCCCAAAGCAGAGGTAAGGAACCCACTTGATAAAGAATCACAATTTATTCCCAATAAGACAATGGGGTGGAAGCAAGTTAACATTTGATAAGTTCATTACCTGCACACTCACAACACTACCTCTCCTGCTACTGTTCTGGCTCTCAGAGACTGTCTGATTACTGAAGCAGAGGGCATCAAATCCCAGGATTCCCCCAACACAATCTCCAATCAAACATACCTGCAATAAGTGAGACAGCATTAAATACACAATGAGAGCTGATAAATGTGTGCTTTAAACTTGCACACTTATCCTTAAACTGCTTTATGGATTGGAAGGTATACCCCTTATACCAGGAAATTCAATTTTTAAGGCTTCAAGTACAAGTGATAGCATGTTTGTTAAGATGCATCAATTAAGTAAGAACATTTTAATTTTTCAGAAAGTGGCAAAAATGTTTATTTTCCATGTAGAGAAATGTGCTGCACTTCCCTCCCCATAATATTTTTCCACTATCTCATTATTTCTTTGAAAGAGTCCAACGACCCAATATTCTAAAACAACAAACAATTCAGACACCTCACCCAAGCGCCAGGCACAAGCAGTGGCTACAATTTAACAGTTACTTCACTACTTGGAATGTCTGAAGATTGTGAATATAAACCTATAGAAATACAAGTTTGTTCCTTCTTGGAATGTTTACCTTTGTAAGCAATACAAATCAGGAATGCTCATGATTAAACCCTTTCCTGTTAGATCTTGTCATCTATTTACTTAAGGGACAGCAAAATCAAATTGGGACTGAGGCCAAGTAAAACAGCAAGCACGCCGTGCTTTATGCATTTATCTGTTCCTTGTCCTGCACAAAGCTTTCTGCGGCTGCATTACGAATGTGACCTGTGGAAATTGTGTCTCTGGCTACCCACCTCTGGGATGACAATCCAGCCTGCAAAATATTTCAGGTAGATGACCATTCACCAGAACTAGGAAACAGACTTTTAGCAAGGGGTGGGTGGGACAATGACAAAAGAAAGTTCTACAATAGGCTGAAGATAGTAAACAATTGTTTATCTTTGCCTACTTCTCAGATAAGGTATGATATTCCCTGTGGGCTCTGAACTCCACCATCAGGCTGAAATGGGAGCCAGAAACTGTCTCCACTGTGTGAGAAAGAGTAAGTTGGTGTGACAGCGACAGCAAGAACTGCAGATGCTGGAGTCAGAAATAACACAGTGTGGAGCTGGAGGAACACAGCAGGCCAGGTAGCATCAGAGGAGCAGGAAGGTTGACGTTTCAGGTCGGGACCCTTCTTCAGAAATGGCAGAATGTGACATTCCCTGGCAACCAATAGCCAGAGGACAGGTCCAGCACCCAAATAAGGATAGCAGGTAGATCCTGAAGGTGGAGGCCCAATCAGAGGCATTCTAGCTTAAATGAAGCAGCAACCCATAATGGGAAGGAATAAAGAGATGACAGTGTTAGAAATGCAGATCATTTAAGGGTCAACCAGAACAGTTCCAGTGTTGATTAAGAACGTGTAATGTTCATTGACCTTTGTATTTAAGAGCTGGGTTCTTAGAGGGCTCTTGTGGTGCGTTGGAAGTGCCTCTACATCTGAACCAAAGTGCCACGATTTAAGCCCAACCTGCTCCAGAGGTGTGGAATAACACTTCTGAGTAGGCTAATTAAAATATTTTTAAAAATAAAGAGCTGGGTTCTTGTGGTGCAGTGGTAGCGTCCTTACCTCTAAGCCAGGAGGCCAGGTTCAAATTACTCCAGATGTGTGTCATAACATGTCTGAACACGTTGATTAGAAAAAGAAACAGTTGGGATATTCATCCTTGAAGCCTTTGCACAAAGAGGTGGGCACTGTGGGGGCGGGAGTGCATCATCTCCCCCTCCAACACTATTTTGATTAAGTTCCCTCTTTCTTTTCATTCCCTTCCTTCATTTCTGTTATTGGGCAATGCTTGTGATTTATTTGTTTATTTGGTCAAGTGGCTGATTTTGGTGGTAGGTTTATGAAAAAGAGCTGGACTTTCGTTAATTAGGTGGTAAAATAAACAAAAAGAAGAGCTGGGTTCTTAGGGTCTCTCGAAGCCCAGCGGAAATGTCTCCTTTCTGGGCTAGAGGTCTGGATTCTACTCCCACCTACCCCAGATAGTTGTTCTAATGTGTCTGAATAGATTGATTCTAAAAAGGAGAGGTTGGTTCTTGTTCGTGCCCCACTGTCCTATGAGAAAGAGCACATAGTGACCACCAGCATCTTTGAAGCCTTCAGAGAGTGAGGTGGGCACCACATGGGGTGCATTACCTCCCCTTCCAACACCATTTTGATTTACATCCCTCCTTTATTTATCCCATCTTTTTTGTGACACTGCCCCTGGTAGGCTGTGCTTGTGATTTGTTTAATTAATTACTCAGGTGATTTGGTGGAGAATTACACTTAAAAAAGCTGGGCTCTTGGGGTCTGGTGGCACAGTGGTAGTGCCCTTATCATGGGCAATATGGCCTGGGTTCAAATTCCACCTGCACCAGACATGTGTCATAACTTGTCTGAACAGGTAGATTAAAAATATCTATTCTCAGCATCTTTTAGTTTGGGTGATTTGATGATGGATGTTTGAAAATAAAAGAAAAACATCGGTTCAGGCCTGTGGGGAGTTGGCTTCCGGAGAAATACAGCCATGATCAAACGGTAGAGCAGATTTGATGAGCTGAATGGTTCCTATATCTTATGATCTTAAGCACAGGGAAAAGATCCAGAGGGTAAAGGTGGACACTGGTGTTTGTGCTAAACTATAGATTTATTATAAAATCCTTGTAAATCTCTGAAAGTCCTTTGTTGTACAATTGAGCACATGGATATCTGTCTATAAAACAAGACAGAAAGCACCCACCGCTTAAATTTAAAGAATAGGCTTTGCAGTCAGGGGTCTCTACATGGCTGCCCTGCTCTGCTGCAACGTCCAGAAACAGACCTGCAGGAGCATGAAGGCCAAATAGAAAAGTCCAATCGATTGAATCTAAATGGCCTTAAGTGAATCTTAATGATCTGTGTTGATTCTCTGCAGTGTGTGGCCAATAGTCCTGTTAACATCCTCATCTAGCCTCTGTGAAAATGGCTTGGGGCAGAACAGAACAGGGAGCTTTTTTCATGCTTCCAATTCTGGTGCTAGCAGGGCCGAGAAATTAATTCAAAGTTACAACCAAAGATTTTACTTCCCAAATACTGACCTGGCCACTAAAGGAGACACCCTCCTGAGATTTGATAAAATCACTGTACACCTGATTTGCTCTGAAAATCACCGTAGCAACTGCCTCCTGGTAGTGAGGAGATGATGTTGCCAACAAAGGAAGTGCAGCCAGTGGAATGTGATCTTGGCTGTTTGACAAACAGCTTTCATCAGAGTTCATGGGACTGAGGCTGGAAAAGCAAAAAAAATTGATTAGAATAAAGAGAAAGCTACAATGTTATCTGAAAGAAAGTGACACTTGTTACCTTCTGGTTTGCTGGAATACTGAAACCTAACTGAGGAAGAAACGAAAGGAGACATTTAAATGGAGTTGGCACTTTTCAGAAGAAGCACATCAGAGCTTAAAATAGCAAAATAAACTACCAAAATAGAAATAAGATCAATAGGATTCTTGGCACATATTGTATGGTGTGCTTGCAGTAATAAATTCAAAGCTACTGCTTGAGGCACCAGTGGTAGAAATTGAATACAAGATGAAAGTGGCCTTGTGTAAAGCAACTGCTCCCGGGTGACACTGCATTCCTGCCATCAAATACTTGCTCTTGGTTTGTAATGTGAGTACACTGCACAATATTTTGACTGTTTCATGGAAGAGTTTAGCTCTCTCTCACTCAAAATTTTATAGAACATAGAACAGTACAGCATAGTACAGGCCCTTCGGCCCACGATGTTGTGCCAACCTATTATCCTACTCTAAAATCAAACTACCCTGCATACCCTAAATTTTACTATCCTCTATGTGCCTATCCAAGAGTCGCTTAAAAGTCTCTAAATTATCTGACTCCACTACCACTGCTGGCAGCACATTCCACACATCCACCACTCTCTGTGTGAAGAACCTACCTCTGACATCTCCCCTATACCTTCCTCCAATCACATTAAAATTATGCGCCCTTGTAATAGTCATTTCTGCCCTGGGAAAAAGTCTCTGGCTATCCACTCTATCTGTGCCTCTCATCATCTTGTACACCTCTATCAAGTCACCTCTCATCCTTCTTCGCTCCAATGAAAAAAGCCCTCGCTCCCTCAACCTTTCCTCATAAAACCTGCCCTCCAGTCCAGGCAGCATCCTGGTAAATCTCCTCTGAACCCTCTCTAAAGCTTCCAAACCTTTCCTATAATGAGGTGACCAGAACTGAAATCAATACACCAAGTGTGGTCTAACCAGAGTTTTATAGAGCTGCAGCATTACCTCACAGCTCTTAAACTCAATTCCCCTGCCAATGAAAGCCAACACACCATGTGCCTTCCTTTCAACCCTATCAACTTGGGTAGCAACTTTGAGGGATCTATGGACGTGGACTCCAAGACCCCTCTGTTCCTCCACACTGCCAAGAATCCTGTCATTAACCCTGTGTTCTGCATTCAAATTCCACCTTCCAAACTGAATCACTTCACACTTTTCTGGGTTGAATTCCATCTGCCACTTCTTTGCCCAGCTCTGCATCCTGTCAATGTCCCGTTGCAACCTACAACAGCCGTCCACACTATTCACAACTGCACCAACCTTTGTGTCATCAGCAAATTTACTAACCCACTCTTCCACTTCCTCATCCAAGTCATTTATAGAGATCACAAAGAGCAGAGGTCCCAGAACAGATCCCTGCAGAACACCACTGGTCACCGAGCTCCAGGCTGAATACTTTCAATCTACTACCACCCTCTGTCTTCTATTGGAGAGCCAGTTTTGTATCCAGACAGCCAAATTTCCCTGAATCCCATGCTTCCTTACTTTCTGAATGAGCCTGCCATGGGGAACCTTATCAAATGCTTTGCTAAAATCCATATATACCACATCCACTGCTCTACCTTCATCGATGTGTTTTGTCACATCCTCAAAGAATTCAATAAAGCTTGTGAGGTATGACCTGCCCCTCACAAAGCAATGTTGACTATTTCTTATTAAACTGTGCTTTTCCAAATAATCATAAATATTATCTCTCAGAAACCACTCCAATAATTTTCCCACCACAGAAGAAAGACTGACTGGTCTGTAATTCCCAGAATTATCCCTATTCCCTTTCTTGAACAAGGGAATAACATTTGCCACCCTCCAATCATCTCGTAATACTCCAGTGTGCAGTGCAGATGCAAAGATCATTGCCAAAGGTGCAGCAATCTCTTCCCTCGCTTCTCTTAGCAACCTTGGGTATATCCCGTCTGGCCCAGGGGAATTATCTATCCTCATGTTTTTCAAAATTTTGTAGCACATCCTCCTTCCTAAAATCAACCTGTCCGAGCATATCTGCCAGTTTCATGCTGTCTTCACAAACGTCAAGATCCCTCTCACTGATGAATACTGAAGCAAAGTATTCATTAAGGACCTCCCCTACCTCCTCCGACTCCGTGCACATGTTCCCTTCACTATCCCTGATTGGCCCTACCCTCACTCTGGCTATCCTCTTGTTCCTCACATAAGCATAGAACTCCTTGGGTTTTTCCTTGATCCTACCCGCCAAGGTTTTCTCATTCCTCCTTCTAGCTCTCCTAAGTCCATTCTTCAGTTCCTTCCTGGCTACCTTGTAGACCTCTAGAGCCCTGTCTGATCCTTGCTTCCTCAATCTTAAGTAAGCTTCCTTTTTCCTCTTGACTAGGTGTTCCACATGT